GGGCGGGCGCCGCCCCCCCCCCCCCGCCGCCGCCCGGGGGGAAAAGCCCCTGGGCATCTACTCCCTGCTGCCGAACCACAAGACTGAGCCGGTGCTCGGTGTGCCGCCCTCCGTGGCGTCCGCCCTGCACGTGCAGCCGGCCCTGGCCGTCTCCATGGACTTCAGCGCCTACGGGGGGCTGCTGCCCCAGGGCTTCATCCAGCGGGAGCTGTTCAGCAAGCTGGGGGAGCTGGCGGCCGGCATGAAGACGGAGAGCAGAGCCCTGGGCGAGCAGTGCAGCGTGTGCGGGGCAGAGCTGCCGGACAACGAGACCCTCGAGCAGCACAGGTGAGTGCCGAAGCCGTGCCGCGCCGAGCGGGTGGGATCTCGCTGGAGGATTTCGGTTTCTGGCCCGGCGTCGCGTGTGCCGGTGCAAAGTTCCTGCCACGTACCCCAAAACCGGGACGCGGAGCAGCGTGCTCGGGGGGGCGGCTGTCGCAACTTTTCTGGGTCTGGCAGCCGTGCCAGAAGGTTCCCTCCCGCGAGCGCCGGCTGGGGAGGACAGCCGGGACGGGGCTCGGGCCGCGGGTGGCTCCTGCTAGCGCAAACCCCGCCGGTTTCCCTGCCCGGCGTCCGCCGAACGCCTCGCGGTTGCTGCTCCTTGAGTTTAGGGCTCCGCACGTCAACGGCATGTAAAGGGACGCGGTGGGGTCGGGCAGCCCTCGCCCACCCTCTGCCGAGCGCCGACCCCTCCTGCGCCAGCACCCGCGCGGGGCGAGGGGGGGGGGAGAGACCCGCAGGATCCCCTGTGCCCGGCCGCAGCGATGACATTTGCGTCGCCGCACGCAGCGCCCTGCCGGCCCGGTAGCTTTGTGCCGTTCGGCTTCCCGGTTTATGAAATATTTGCACTTTGCACAGAGTAGCACGTAGGTCAGGCTGGGTAACGCCGGGGCGAGCGCAGAGGGCTCGTGCTGCCGCAGAGCCCTGGCTCCGTCCCTGCGGGGACGGGCTCGGGGTTGAACCTCCGGCGCCCGCGGATGCGATTTCGGGGCTCCCCTGCTCGGGGCGGGGGGGGATCTTTGTGCTCGCGCCGAGCCCCGCACCTCGGGGAGCTGCTGCGGTGCGGGAGCGCGGTGGCCGTTATCGGCACGCGGGTTTGGTGCTCCCCTGCTTACCG